TTGGAAATATAAACATCTTGTCATTAAAATATCCAGATGGAGGTGGGGCGTGGTGGCTCACGCCTGTAATCTCAGCACGCTGGGAGACCAAGGTGGATGGATCACAAGGTCAAGAGATGGAGACCATCCTGGCCAACGTGGTGAAATCCCGTCTCTACTAAAAATACAAAAATTAGCTGGATGTGGTGGTGCACACCTGTAGTCTCAGCTACTCGGAAGGCTGAGGCAGGAGAATCACTTGAACCCGGGAAACAGAGGTTGCAGTGAGCCGAGGTGGCACTACTGCACTCTAGTCTGGTGATAGAGTAAGACTCTATCTCAAAAAATAATAATAATAAATAATAATAAAAGAAAAAAATATATCCAGAAGGAGACCTCAGAATCTGCACTCAATAAAGTAACTAGGTAATTGTATTTATAAAATAAACTGTCTCAATTTATACTACAAAAATAATCATCACATAATTACATCCTAACATTTTGGAGGCTTTTATAACTGTTTAAAATTCATGTACAGTATTTGGACCAATCAGGTAAAATGTTACAAATATTATATTTACAATTACTTTCCACTATATTTTTCCTCTGAAAAACTACTCTGTTTGCAGAATTCAAGCAGCTTTGGCTGCTTGAAATCCTGAAATACCTTTGTGCTTTCAAAAATCACACTTCATAAAGGGCATTTATTCTACAGAATTAAAGTTTACTGAATAATAAATATACTTTAAGTGATGCAAGCTGTCAAAACCCTTGAATGTTGAAGTTAAAGCTGATAGCCCTTCATAATTTTTGTTGCTTTGGAAAAGGAAAAGAAGCAGAATGAGAATGATTAAGTAAAGGCAATTTCACCTTCCAATTTCTTCATCTTTGTATATTTGTCATAAATAACAATTTAAATATCCTCTAAGGTTAATATTTTCTGATTTGATATGAAAGTACAGAAAAAATTAATATATTCAGGCATAATATGAGGCAACAGAGACTGAAGCATCTTATTTGTAGCAAATTTTATTTTCAAATAACCATAAAAGGTATCCAATTACTTTTCAGGTTAATTTATAGGATCATGCAAAATGTAAACAGAAAGTTCCAAAAGAAAAAAACGTTCCTGACAATTCTAATATGTGAGGGAAAAGTACACAGAAATGCACACCAGGAACTTTCTACATATGGCTAATATCTGGATCTTTATTCTTGCTTGCTTTTTGTTATCTTATCACAAGATAAAATGTAATGCAAAGAAGCAAAAATTAATCCAAGGGAGGAGAAACTTATTGATGTGATACATGATAAGGGAGGGTTAACTATGTTAATATTCACAGAGAAATGCTGCAAGTAGGGAGTGATGTTAGATAAAATTATCTTATTCTGCAACACAGTTAAACAGAAATTTAGTTGCGGCAATAATGTTACTACTTACATCATAGTCATAGACTTTTCCTTGAGTATCATGCACAGTTCTGAAATTTCCCTCTCCCGACCTCACCCCCCACCCCCAACTGCCAGGGAACCTCATAAAATAAAATGGAAATCTTCCCAGAGGGCATTTAAAATAATATTTTAAGTTAGAATTATAATTTATTTTTAAAATAAGGTAAATCATAATATTATTCTGAAAACAAACTGTTGTGAGGGCAGAGCAAGTATTATTAAAATGTTTAAAATCAACAGCAAACCATTAAACAAAACTTCCTATTTTTGACATTGACTGGAAGCAAAGGGCTGTGGCTTTACATTAGAGGCATTTTATTTATATTAATATTGAGAGTTTGTTCCCAATTACTAAAAACAGAAAATATATCTAAAAGGCCAATCCAGAGTGTATCTACATATGTGGTTTCAAAGAAAATTCAATGATATTTCTTCAATTTGGACTAAGTCCTACTGTGCTTATTTTGCCCTGTTGTGGAAGAGACTACAAAATGTTAAAGCTATTGAATGAGCTCAAGAGTACACGAACTCTCTACAAGTAAAGCTAGCTTTGTTTATAACATAGTTAAAATTTAAATAGCAAAACTTCATACAAAATTAGGTGTTTATATTTATTTTTTACAACAGTATTATCCCTAATATTCTCTTTAAGAGCCTAGAATGACATGATTCCAAATTTCCATTCCAGAGCTTCCCAGTTCTAATGCTTTCCACCACAACACGCCTTGCAGTCACACTGCAACAGAAAATGAGATGATATTTATATGTGACTAATAAAAAACCATACTTTGACTCCCAAAAAGGGTTATTATAAAAGAATGTATGGTAGATTCCACTGGGATTTTGCTTAATAAAGCTATTTATGTTTTAGGTGATGAAAAATCACCTAAGTTTTAAAAGTGTTTGCTTTGGGTCCTTTATTATGGAGTTTTATCCTTATTTGAGGTATCAAAAACCTACCCACTATGTAAGTCAGTATTAAGGTGGCTATTCAACCAAAGCGCACAGACACTAACTCTCCATGAAGCTTTTTGCCCAAGATCAATCTGCCAGAAGTTAGACTAACCCAGGCAATTGGGAGGTAGAAGCTATGAAAATTTAGTGCCCTGCTCTCAACTAAGAGGTCCACATTTTTCTATTCCACACCGAACAGTAAGTGTGCAGTTGCTCAGACTCAAAGACTGCTTTACATCACAGTAAAGCACAATAGACCTTACAACTCTGCCTCACACGCTTTCTCGTCCCACTCACATAATTAGTACTCCTTTCTCTCTCTCTCTCTCTCTCTTTTTTTGGTTTTAAAAAATATGCCTGTTTCAAATTTGCATTATTTTTTTCAGATGTCTAATTTCAGTTATGTTCTTTCCCTCTCTGGTCTCTTCCTGCATTTCACATACCAGACAAATATTTAAAGGTCTGTAAAACCAGGCGAAGTTCCAAAATACTTCTAAATGAAATTGCCATAGGTGACAGAACAGCGAAAGAAGGCAAGACTGTAGGGCAAAGATTTGAATAAACTGGCTGGAAATGCATTGGAAAATCTATTTAAGCTGCTATAGCTGTGGATGAGGTTTCAATGAGGCATAAACATTCAAGTTACTGACAAAACCAACATGATTTGTGATCACTCAAAATAGTCTACTTGTCATGGTGCATTGCTTTTTTTTTTAGTAGTAAGTTGCTCTCTCTTCTTTAAAATTTTTTCTTTTTAGTATTCAGGAAGTGAAAGCATTTAAGAAAACATTCAAAATTCTGAGAATACATGTAAGTGAAATATTTAATGTCTGTCATTCATAAAAGTTACATCATTTACATAGGGTTCATTTGTATATAATAAAAATTTCATCATAATGAAAAATTTTCTGGAAATTATATGTTAGTTTGTTTAACATATGCTTTGGATATACAGCTAAATAGGAATAGCTAAAAATTTATTCTTCAAATATTCCCTTTAACAATTAAAAAAACCTCATTCCTAAATATTTGTCTGTCTTTCCATTTGCTTTTTTGTTTGTAATAATCATATGTAACTTGAACTATGCAAAGATTGGATCTTTTTATAGTTCAGAATATATTTGTATACTTCAATAAATTTGTTCATTGCATAGCAAACATGTAAACTCACATAGGATCTATAAATTTTACCCTAGTAATCTAAAAAAGTTGCTGAAATTTTACACAATAGTTTATTCTAAGGTTTATTTTGTTGTAATTTGGATTCACTTTATTTTTTATTTGTAATACATGTGGCAATTGAATACAACAAATGAAAATAAGTCATGAAAAGGTAAAAACCAAGTAATTTTATCCTAGATTACCAGAATTTAATCTCATTATGCTGTTTGTATTTTTTCATTAGTATAACAAGTTGTAAATGTACTGTGCTGCCTCTTTAAGTGTTCAAAATTAATTTCAACAGCGTGTGTTTAACATAAAGTTAACTATGTTTGCATCAAATAAATGTTTATTAATGAAAGCTATTTATCATACAAGAAACAGCAAAGATAAGTCATCATACAGAGGTGTACACTAGAGGTGACATATGTAAAAGTGCATGCAGAGATTTCTGTTTAAAAAGGAAGTAATAAACAATAATACTAAAATTACTGGGGTTTGATCCCTATACTCTTAAATGGGTGATAGCTTTTCTTTGAATTTACAGTTGGAAAATGCCATTAACAGGACTAATACACATTAGCAAGCAGGTGAAATGAATGTTTTGGACTTTATTTTACAACTATTTGTGCTTGACAAATGTGTGGAATTTTTTTCAATAATAATTTTTTTCAAATATGGGGTGGGCATATTACTGCCAGGTTGCTCTGGTTTTGTGCATGGTTTATCTAATTTTGTTTAAACCACATAATTTCAGGCCTTCAGTTGTGTTAGACACCATAAAGAACACAAGTTTCGTTAACATTCAGTAAATGACATTTAAGTCTCTCTCTCTCTCTCTCTCTTTTTTTTTGTCTCAATAAATTTTTTAATGTATGATTATCATAACCTAATAGTGTCTTTGTCTTCACTGCAGTGGATTTCCGATCAAACTTTTCCCCTTCTTTTAATACTTTAGGGAATTTTCAAACGTCGGGATGTTTGGCTGTAATGCCCCAAGATTTGTTCTCCCTGAAAAAAATCATAGTGACAATTTATTAACTACAGAGCAACTTGGCTTTTAGGGGTCTGCAATTTCTATTTAGATTTACAAATATCCATTTGTGCTCAATAGACCTAACATGAAATCTTAATCATATTTAAGGTTTCTTTCCATGCAATTACTTTATATGCTAGTTAGCCTTTTTATTCTAAAAATTGGACTGAGTCAAATCAGTGGGGCATGACTTTTATTATAAGCAAATATATTCAAAGGTATTTCTAGGTTGAATTACATTGCATGTGCAACAATGTGTAACATTTCATATGAATCAGAAGTTTGGAAATCTAAAAACTATTTGTATGTTTAAATATTTCTAAAAATTTTGTATTACCATTTGAATAGCTTTTATATAGATGCTGGAACACACTAGTATGGTTAAAACTTAAATAAAACTGATGGGAAAGAAAACTCCTTAGATTCAAAATGGTTTATTCACACAAATTTAATAGGATATATCACAATTGTTTGGTCCATAAATATTTAGGGGAAATAGTTTCTATACAATGCATTTATCAATAAACAAAGAAACATGGACAATTTTGCTAGACCACTTACTGTACTATAAACACGAAGCTCAATATATAAGATTATTGAATTTATCAACTATATTTGAAAGAGTGCACAACTGCTTTCTATGACATGTTTGTCCCCTCTAACAGGATACACCATAAAAAGAGTTTCAGAAATAAGAGGTAAAACAGTACAAAACTAGTGAGGTGTCAAAAGGGCTTAAAACAGTTAATTTAACAAACAACACATATATCCTGATTTTTCACAAACTTACTTCCAAGTTATATCATAAGGCACATAGGAGAACTGAGTTATAATTAGTCTACTTAATAAAGTAGATCTATAGTACCATATATTGTTCTGTCAAAGAACAAAATTTATAAGCGTCAATATTTTACCTGTAAAAGTGTATTAATAAGATCTCAGCCTTACCAAGGTTGTTTGGTCTGGTTAGTGGTAAATGCCCAAAATGTAATAGAAATATGAAAAGTCAAGATTTAAGCTCCATATAAGATGATAACCATACTTGCTAAATATATAATGGCAATCACACCTTTCTTCTGTTACAGTGTTAACTTATCTTCCATCATCTTTTTTTAAAAAATAAGCTACTTTCTGTGCTAATTTTCTAAAGACCCTGAGCAAAAGTTACAATAATGCACTTTAATGTGGGCAGTGAACTGTCAATATGTAACCACACATTTATACAGCCAGAAGGACACCTTTAACATCTATTAAATAGCCACTTCGACCACCAAAGGAGATTTAAGGGGTCCAAAAAGTGGAGAATATGTGCAAAGTTATTCTTAACAATCCACTAAAGCAAGACATATATCTTGACTTCTTTTTTATTTTTTTTAGGAAATCCACAATCTAATTGGTATTTAACTACAACAGAAGCGTAATAGATGAACATTCACCACTGCCCAGACCATTAAGATTTTAGCTTAAATTAAAAGAAAAAAAAATACTACTGTAAACTAGGAAATATATTCAGATCAGCATCCACAAGGCTTCTGAGTTTATCTACTTTAAGACTAATAACTTCGAATCTCTACTATCAGAAAAATTATTTTCAATACATAAGTCAACCTATGTCAAAATAAAATAAGACAAAACAAAACCGATTGTTGGTATAAGTCTACCAGGCTGGGTATTTTAAACATTATTCATATAGAATGCCAGATACAATATCATGGTACAGCTGAAGCCAATTAATAGAGCTATTAATTAAATTATACTGATTTTTTTACTTCTTAAAACATTATATTTTGCTTATTTCCATTTTCCCTGGGAAAAAAAAAGTAACTTAGAAAGAATGGTTTCCGAGCTATTGAATTTAGCTTTAGGAGGTTAAAATTATGGAATGTCAAAATCTATGCAGAATTTTCATGGATACACAGGGAGCTTAATTATTTTTCAAATGTTGAGAAACAAATAGTCAAGTAAAAAGTTTTTAGAGTTGTACACCCCTAAGAGAAGGAAAAGTCACTTTCCTGTAATAGATTTCTCACCTAATTAATCATTACTATTTTAAATGTCTGTAGTTAATGCTTTTATTTCATCATATTCCTCACTTGAATTAGCAGTTCAGGTAAGAAATAGAAATACTAAAAACAAGTTTTCAGTTTTAAGATTTAAAAAATGTAATGTTTTCAAAACTCCATAATCACACATACAACTGCAAGATTTAAAAAGTAACTAATTAATTAGCTGGTTCTTTATTAACCTAATCATTTAACTGGGAATTTGATTATTTGCCCATAATAATACCACTCTTTTTTTTTTTCTTCGAGATTCTGGAAATAAGTAACATACAATTTTAAGAGGCACTTATTAGAATTATTCAAAAACTCTCCTTACCAACTGAAAGACCTAATTAATATTTTTTTTAAAAAAATCCAAATACACTTTGTAGACAAAATATATTCACTTAAAGGAGACAATACTGTAAACTCATTTGCCAAGTGGCTGCAGATGCTACACACCAAGCTGTTATTTTTATTCCCCAAATATCTTGTGGGTTAGAAGAAAAAAAAGTCTTGTAAATAATAAAATAATAATAATTAGAATAATAATAAAAAGAAGAGGAAGAATTAAAAAAAAAAAAAAAAAAACCAATGTTAGAAAAGGTTCGTTAAGGTAGTTTGTGAGGGGCTTCCGGATTCGTGGCTGTCCATGTTAGAGGTCACGGATGTCACTACAGTGATAGTGGGATTGGTCAGGTCTGTTAAAGTGGTCGCAGTGCCGGGTGGAGTGAGAGCTCCGCTGTCTGCTGAGGGCGGGGCCGGAAGCGACGTGCCATCAGCTTTATCAACACCCCCATTCTCCTGCCGCAAAAGGTTCCTTCTGAATTTGGCTCGTGCGTTTTGGAACCAAACCTGCAAACCAATCCCAATTGATTTCTTTACCGATGTTCATTTTTATATTTCTTTTCTTTCTCTCTTTTTCTTTCTTTCTTTCTTTTTTTTTTTTTTTTTTTTTGATATATGTTTCTCCTTTTAAATAAAATAGTTTGTTTTTCTTAGGAGGAAAGGGGCTTTTTTTCCTTTCTTTTAAAACAAAGTTATTCAAGTAACACTACGGATTTATTCTCTCTCAAATGCACTTATTCCACCCGGTAGCATTAACGAGTGCCACTTGGAACAACTGATGCTTAAGCGGATATACCATGAAAATGAATACATGGTGATAAAGAGGGGGAAATACACGATGATTCCTCAACTGTTACAATAACTGTTGAAAAAGGGCAGGGCCATTGAAAGTATGGCAAAGTAAGAATCACTCATATGAAATGGACATCACTGAAACAGACTTCAAGCCATTTGTGAGCCCAAAACACGGTATATATTCTTCACACAGAAAAAACTCCCAGGGTCACAGACCTCAAACAGCCTGAAACTGTTTAGCAGAATTTAAAATACCTGCTATTTGTCACCAAGAAGTGAGAGAAGACACAGGTGACTTACAGCAACCTATTATAATTTCATTACTTATATGTTCTGACCATGATGAGTTTAGGAAATCAATTGGACAGCAGAACTAACTTCCAGTATTTTGTTTTTAATTATGGTTTGTTAAGGCAGGAAAATACTTGCTCCAATTGGTTGCTGAAACACTAACCATACTTTTGGCTTTTCAGGAGTGGAAAAAAGGTTCCACCTGAATTTGGAAGGTGAGTGAGGCTGCCAAAAGTTTGCCGAGTTAACACAGTGCCAACAGGTCCCTCTCAAGTCTGTTCACTGAGCATAATATTAATGGAAATCTATAGAGCCACGGCCTGTGCAAATAACATCACTCACATTTGCACAGCAGTGAGTCAAGCTGTGCTGCCTTTGGAGGGCCCATCTCCACATACGTAGAGAGAATGTGGCTGTATTTAAAAAGACACTGGGTCTCTGTTTGGGAACCCTCCAGGAAGCTCCTGCAAAATCTCAGAACATCCTCTAGGGAGATAGCTAAGATAAACTAGTAAGAAGCAATACAGGAAATAGCTGCATCACTCCAACCAGGGAAGAGCACTATTTTTACTGGCAAGGGGAAGGGAAATGTATGCACAGTCAATGATGCACGTGTCTTACCTGCAAAACTCTTTTGGTCAGGCCTGTTTTCTGGGCAAGCTGCTTGAGGTCCTTGGCATCCGGATTGTGGTTGATGGCAAAGTAGGATTTCATGGTCCGGAGCTGGTGATGCTTGAAAGAGGTTCGCATGCGCTTGGTCTTCTGTGAGGGTGGATAAGGCTGCTGGTCCCGGTCCAAGTGGTCTGCCTCATTCTCATTACAACCTGTTGCAGTAACAGTGAACAAACAACTGCTCAGTGGAAATTCTTGCATTAGCTGACATGATGGCAGGCTATAATGACACTGCTATGGTAATAAAGCAGCAGTGAAAAATGCTGTCAACCCAATTATGAGTAGTATCTAGACAAAAAGAAAGAAGATCATTGCTAAAGTAAACTGAACTTGTCTGTTAATGCAGATACAACCAAAGTTTATACAATAGAAAAATATTGGTTAAATCCTGTCTTTTGCTTAATGGTTGCTAGAAGAATTTGAGAATATGAACAAACCCTAAGTAGTAAAGTGGGAGTGAGAGAGACCTACGAGAGTGAAAAGAAGAAACCCTTTTCTAATATAGTTATTTGTACCAGCTTCCCATTGCCTGCACTCACAGTGTTTTAAGACTCTACCTTTTGTCTGTATTTCTGGAATGAGACACACTGTCTGAAGGTACTGCTTCTTGTCATGAGACATAGAGAAACAAGTATTACCACTCTCTCAAGTCTGAAAGTTTCTGAGAGCCCGCCAACTAAGGAAGCATCTAGGTCAGTTCTAATGGTTAGCCTTTTCTCATATTCCTAGAACTCTCTCAGTCAGGAAAAAGTTAGAAAAGGCTGAAAAAGGAGGAGAAGTTAGAAATTTAAAATTTGTGAATTTCTTACGTAAACATAAGAATATTATTTGTTTCAGCTTTTAGCTATGACTGGTTAACGCAGAGCTATACCAGAAAGAAAATATTTTTCCCCTGGAGTGATTTTAATAAATATTTCTGAAAGAGAATGAGCCCAGACTTCCCTTCACATGGTTCATGCCTGAAGTGCTCCCCACAGCTCACAGCTGAGAGACACTGATGGTGCTTATTTCTAGGCTCAGATCTTAGTCCCTTTTGCTCCAGATGTGTGTGAGTGGGATGTGAGCTGTGCCCCTGGCTGGCCTGGCAGAGAGAGGGCGGCATTTTCTCTCCCCTTACAAAGACTTTCTCAGCACCAAGGGCAAAACAACCCAGTCTTTGAAACCAGCCAGAAAGTCATTATCCCCAGGATGTAAAGCTGCACATTTAAAGGGTCATTTCCAAGAATCTACTGGCTCTGCACAAGAAATACAATTGTAAAATGAAAACATTTTGTGAAATATTTACACAACCAACTTCAGCCAACTTCACACATTAAAGTGCATGGCAATTTTTTTTCTTTAAATTCTTCCTTCAGATAGTTATATAAATTTAGATCTAATCATCCTGCCTTGTGCTGCTTTATAACAGAAAATCTAAAACCAACCTGATCATGTCATTCCAGGGAGAAAGAAACCTGAATCTTAAAAAAGGGAGGCATCCCTTAATATTAGCTCTTCCAATCTGCTTAATAAAATGTTATCTGCCTGGTAGGCTCTGTTTATAACAACTCTTTAAAAACTATTCAGCAAATCAGCATATTTACAGAAATACAGAAGTTTTGTAGTCATCAACCAAGAAGTCAGCCACATATAAAAGTCACTTAATAAGAAATTCCTCCTAATGTGATAAGACTAGATACAAACAAATGTCTAGTAAGTAGGAGGACACACTTGGCAAAAGAACAGGTGAGTCCATTGAGGGAAATGACTCTACCATATTCACCTTTGGACTGATTCCCTGAGTCAAACACAGGGGCAGAAGCTCAAGAAACATTCAATCAAGACGTTGGGCCCTTTGTTCATCAGTAAATTACAAGTGGGTATTAATGCAAAATTAAATCAACTTGAAGTAGAATCCAAGTCAGATATACACATTTGAATGTAAAACATAGGCTTCTTAAACTCCACCAGAAAGGGTACCATATGTCCAGAGATAACAGAAAGAGTATGCATTACATTTTATCCCATTTTGGCCCAGTGGGGATATGTCAAGTTCAAATATTCGACAGAATTGCACTTTCATGTCCTCAAATGGATGAAACAGCATCTCTATGACCTACTATAAAACTATACTTATCTCCAGTAAACTGAGCCATATTTCATAACCAGATTATAAATATACCCACAAAAAATAGTCAAAGAGGCACACGTTAGTCATCGGAGGGTTCTTCAAGTAAGATTTCTTTCCTATCATATGTAACATGTAACCTTTCCTGAACAACACATCAAATTGAATTTTACACTTGGGACAGAAGACTTGGTGTTTAAATAATGCCCTTGGCCATCTTTCCCCCATTCCACACCAGGGTAATATATAGAAATGAATATGATTCCCAACATGACTATATAATCATTAGTTCTTAAAATGAAATTTATGAAAAATAATTATAGTAAGATTTGATGAAATTGCTTCCCTGAAAACTCATTCTATATCCATTATTGCTGATTAAAAACTCAGCAGAGCCTTTTAATGTGTTTTAAATACAGTTATAGGCCCCATTTCCACACAAAATACATAATCCAATGTGTAAGGAGATAACTTGTTGGGTCTTTATTAAACAGATATTACTATATATGATATTCCTGTGATGCATTATCTCATATTATGCAACTTAATCAAGAAACCTATTTCTTCTACAGAGTAACAGTGCATTATCTGATATTATTTATGTTTAACTACACATGCATTATATAACTTGCAAATGACTGTTTCTCCAAGGCCTGTTTCTATAGCTGTAGGGGATTTCCCCACTCCCCGAATTATGAGACGAAATGATAACTCTTAAAACTGTCTTAAATATCTACCTGTAAGTTCACATATTGTATTACAAAGTTAATGAGAAGATCTAAGTATTTTATTTCCAGTCACTTACGTGATGGTCACCCATCCTAAAGTGAATGTCTGCTGTGAAGGTATGTAACCTTCTGAGAATTAACTGATCCCTGGAAGACCACTAGGGGTCAGTGCCAGGCTAATTTAACCACCAGGAACCTTAAAAGTTTGGATAGGAAGAAAGGACTTAAGGAAAGGATATTTTGAGAAGTGACCAAAGTTTAATCTCTCAATTAATGTTTAAATTACACAAATAAGAGCTTCCTATCCTAAACTAAATCTTCTTCTCATCCCTAGAGGGCTTTATTTCAAGTTACCATTTCAGGTAAACTTTCCATGTCTCTCTAAAATATTTGCCTGATTAATTTGCACAGAGGTATAAATGAAACTAGGGACTTTCTCATTAAAAGGCATTTGCCTTATGTCAAGCACTAGCTGGCCTTTGCCAAGTTTCACATCTTCTCTGAGATTCTTTGAATCACAAACATGTTTTCTGCACATTTTGAAAACATATTATTATGTAAATTATACTTAGTTTAGTATCAATCTTACCCTTTATGAGACTTGTTTACATTTAATGTTTACATTTAATGACAGATGGCAAGATAAAATCCAAAGAAGGCTAAAACAATGAGTTAAAACTGGATTTATTTTATTTTTTACATTTTAACATGTGTTTAATTTGCTGAAGGGTTTCTTTCCCTAGTTTTGTAACAAAGTGGCATCAGATTCACAAGCACTGTTTTAAATGATGGTCTGATTTCTGGTCAGGAATCTTCAAACCAATTAACCTGATCTTTAACATATATATACTACTTACTAGTATCTCTGGGAAAAGTCCAGAAAGGATGGAGTAGATGTTAACTAAGAGGCATCCAGTTTGTAGTGATGCAAGGTACAAACTCTTCGGGCTAAGGGGGCCTCAGCAATTTTTCCCTCCTTTGGGAGCAAGACAAAAGTGACCTTCTCCACAACAACTTGTAGCAGCATTAATTTGCAAACTAAAGACCTAAGGGGTTCCAAAGGATTCTTTTATTCTTCTTAAAAATAAATTTGTACACTCTAGTTATTTTCAGAGAAGTAAAATAATCTAAATGCTACTGTTCTTAAAGTTCCTTGGATCTAACATGAAGTAAGATCCAAGGCAAAATCAAATTTAGCTAATTAGATTAAATAAAGAATAAAAAAGTCAGGCTTGCCTACTGTTTGGCTAGAAATCTTCACCCTTCTGGACTTTATCTGGGCTGAGAGATCCCTTCTTTCCAAAAAAATCTCGCTAGTTGTGTATGAGTGGCACTCTCTCGCTTGCTCAAGCTCTCTCTCTCTCTCTCTCTTTCCCCCTCTCATTAGGGCATTAGGGCCTTAGTGAGTGGCTTGAGATTCCAATGTCATCTTCTATTAATAAAGAACAATTAGTGCCCTGCCTGCCCTGCCCTGGGGACCACGCATCAAAGAAGATGAAGTAAGCATGCTGGGCAAAGTGGCCCCTAACCAAATCTCCCGCCCCAGCACAGCAGGGGCCAGTGTGAGGGCACGGCCACTACTGAGGGTTGCCAAAACCTGGGGCTTCACCCGCTGCCCTCATACAGATTGACCGACCCTGGTGAGATTTGCAGTGAGCTGGCAGGTCCTTTTCTTTTTATCCGGCAACCCTGGTATGAACCCCCTAGGGACAAGTGCTGCCGCACAGTGTTCCCCATTGCTCCCCATTCTCCCAGCAAGGCCACCTGCTGTGCTTGCCCATAAAGGATTCTCCTCTTCTGTTAGATCAGGCAGTAGAGAACCCCAGGAGAGAGCCTAACAGAGGTCTGAGAGAGCAACCACTCATCCTGTGTGGGTTCTCCTGAAAACTCTAAACTCAGAGCAGGACCCTTAGCTCCATATTCACACTGGCTGTGTGATCTTGGGCAAATCACTTAACTGGCTGGACACTGTTCTTTACCTTGACTAGCAATGTCAGGCACCATACCAGGCCCTGCGAACTGGAAGAGAAAAACAGGCAAAATCCTGTGCTCTGGGGTGCCCATGTGTTGTATCTGGGGGCATTTGGAGTAATACAGTGGGGTTGCCATAATAAGGTCCTCAACGTTCCTTCCAACAGAATGGTCTCCCCTGTCCTGAGCGTCAGTCTGCTGAGATTCTCAGCCAGGTCTGGGCCAGGGCACTGAAAGCCAAAGCAGTTAACTTAGGCTCCCCAAAAGTTAGCCAGGGCTTTCTAATACCTCTTTTTTCCAGTGATTGGGACTCACAAAAAGAGTTTCTGTTCTGCTCAGAGTTCACATCTGCAGAGTGGATCACCATCCTCACCTGGAGGATGGGAAGTGGGGGCCCGCTACCAACAATGGGAAACTGATGCATGTGAGATTGACACATGATAGGTGTGTCCCCTAAAGCAAGGAAGAATGTGTTCTTGACTCCTTGCCTGCGGGTTGTTTTTAATGAAGAGAGAAGGTGATTGAGTATAGATGAATGGTCTGAGATACCATTAAGCTTCCTCAGGGGGCCCAACCTGAAGGTTCTTTCAGTTGGCCAGGGGTCTGGATGTCTGGATGGTCTATCACACCGGGAATGAGACAGCTGGATGAATATCCTGACTTAGGAAAGACACAGGCTAGCTCAGCTGTGGAGAGTGATTCCCACCCCTACAACTGCTTTTTGCCAAGATCAGGGATTAGGTTTTTCAACACTCTTGCCAACCGTGTTCCTGATTAACTTTGGGCTGGTGACCACAGCCTCTGACCCCTCTAGACAGACTGGGGTTGGGCTCTGAAGACTTTTTTTTTTTTTTCTTCAGTATTTAGGAAACCTCCTCCAGGATCTATAATTTGGCCTCCACAAAGAAATTGCCCTGGGGCTGTTTTGCTCCAACTGAGAGCCAGAAACTAATGGGCTCATTAACTAACAGGCAACAACGATTTGGCTCTGCCTGTTTGGGGGAAATCACTACAGCCCCATAGTTATGGATGTGTTTTTTGCCACAACCTAAATAAAGTGTTGCCTTTCCCTCCCCTCCCTCCTCCTCCTCCTCCCTCTCTCCCTTCCTTCAGAGTGACAGGGGGTTGTGGTGAGAACAGAGGCATCGGGCAAAACACTCTTGCAGCAAGACTTTGGACGGGGAAGGAGCTCTACGAAATTTCCTCAGGGAGGCCAGGGCTGCGCCGGGGGTGAGGATAGGGGGCACACCTGAGTTGTAATTGACGATGTCTACTCCCAGCGCTGGGCTCTTCCGCTTCCGGGGCCGCCCCTTCTGCACGGTGCCCGTACCATTGAAGTAAGGCAGGGCCAGGCCGCCGCTCTTGGCCGCCAGCTCCGTGTAGCTCAGCTGAGGTGGATACTCTCCTTGCAAGAGGGTCTCGAAGTGGGCGCGGCAGTACACCAGGCTGTCCTTCATGCCGAAATGGTCGCCCGTGGTCAGAGTCTTGTTGCAAGTGGAGCAGGTGAAGCAGCTCAGGTGGTAGACTGAGTCTCGGGCGCGCATGACCATCTCTGAGGCGGAAATGCCAAGGTGGCAGCGGGCACATCTCTGCACAGAGAACCTTCTGGAAGGAAACAGTTGAGTCAGGGTGCTAGTTGAAGCAAGGCAAAGCCATCTCCCACCCGCGACACCTGGGCTTGGTCTGCAGTGGCTTCAGACTGGGACCTGGGAGGGTTCCAGGAGGACAGGACAGTGGACATTAATTTTATTTGCCCATCGACCTTTTCTGATAAACCGAGACAAAGGATCCTTACATTAAAGTCAGAAGAATCGGGCAACTAAGTCTTAGTTTTCTTCTCTGTAAAGTGAACATTAAAACAAATTTTTTAAAAATTTAAAAAAGCAAACCACTAGTTAGAACGATCTAACAGTACTAGAATATTAAATTGCCATGCCAAGTAAAAACAGTTAATCAATTACAAAATATTCTATGAATGAGGGAAGATATAATTATTCCTGGATGTGCGAGTGTGCGGGAAAACATGCCGACACAGTCCTGGAAAATGACGATTTTGTAGAGGAAAGGTTATTATTTTTTTAACCACTTATCTTGTTTGGGCTGAGAGCGGAGCTAGGTCATCTGCACATAGTTCTGTCTTTCCCAATCCAGAAATATAACTGAGAAGAATCAATAAAGACGCCTGCTGCTGACTTTTCTCTCCAATCTGGCGGACATAGTTGTAACTAGCGATAAAAGGAACTCGGAACCGAGTGGCTTGGGTTTTGGCAATGGCATTTATTCCTTTTCATAGTCATTTACAGAGTCTCCTGCCACCTGCGAAAACCTAACACTCTGTTGCTGCTGCCCGAGCCAACTAGTTCAGTTTCAAGGCGCAGAACTTGCCCAATTCGTAGCAAGCGGAAAACAAAAACCCAGTCAAGTCTCAGTCGACGGAGACCACGTCCATTTACTCTTCCCCAGATTTCCCCAAGTTCCTCCAGCCAAGCTGAGAAGTGATGGGAGCGCGTGGTATTCGCTGATAGAGCTCTAGACCTTGAATGTCCCTCCCACCCACCCTCACCGTCGGTCAGGGAGATTGCAGCTTGAAGGCATATGCAGTGGGTTTCCCTGGTCTCCGAAGTGATAACCGCACCCGGAATGGGGCAAAAGGTGGGAGACGGAGAGGGGATTCCGGGCTCAGGCAGATAACCCCGCCAGGTGTACTTGGGCGGGCGTAAGAAGTGGGGGTGTAGGGGAGTACCTGTAGTAATCCTCCTTGCAGTAAATGCTACCGTCCTTGGCAAAGCAGGTGAGCTCGGACTCGAGGGCCAGCTTACATTCACAGCACTTCAGGCATCTCAGATGCCACTGTTTGTCCACAGCCAGCAGGTAGTACCTGTCCGAGATCTTGCCCCCGCAGCCGGCGCACAGGGCGGGCTTCTCCGGGCTAAGCGGGGGCATGCCCTGCAAAGAAAGCACACCGCAAGGCTGAGGAGGGCGCGCGGTGTCGCCGCACGACGCGGGGTTCTCCCCCAGGAAGACCGAGCCCAGGGCGTGCAGGGAGCGCGGCAGGGGCCAGGGTCCACTGCACAAAGGCAAAAGTCGGGGAAAACATTTGTGATTTCTCTCTTTGCGGCTCGCTCGCTTTCTTCCGTATCCGCCTAAACCGGCATTCGCGTCCTCCCGGGACTATTAGCCTAAAGACGTTCCGGCCATCAGAAGCCTCGCTTAAAAAGGACTGGCAGAATATTGACTATAGTTTAGTGGTCGTTTCCGAATTCAAATAAATACAAGCTAAAAATTGTGGCTTTCGACGCACACAAAATAAAACAACGGAAATGATTGGGGAGTGAAATGGAAATTTCAACGAGCACAGGTTATTTTAAACAAAAAATATTACAGTTCGATTTCTCTAAATTCTTATAAGCAGCATTGAAATCAAAAGCAAAGGGGAGATTATTGGACCTGTGCTCATAACTTGGTCGACTTTGTTTTGATTGAGATATATTTGGCAGACCCTGCTGTTCCCTAATTTTCAGGACTATTGGTCCCGTTCCCAATAAGTGTGTAAAGTGGTTGTTCCGAAAGAGGGTCCGTTGTCCAGCCCGCTCTATACAGTCCCCTCTTTCCCTAGCATCAACAGGCGTACAAACAAGACCTTTGTCTTGAAAATCTGTTTAGTGCCCAAGTTACGCTTCCCTTCTGGGTCCCACTGACCCGACTGAGGATGCCCCAGTGACCCCACCTTGAGGAGCCCAGCCCCACTGCAAAATTTGGGTTTGGGTTGCTACTATTTGATTTAAACGTGATGACCAGAAAAAGGGAAAAGGAGTTAACCTCCGGACATTTCCCTCACGACTAGCAGAAATGGGTTGAACTTCCCCATGAAATTTCAGTGGGCCTGAAAAAGTAAAGTTTAGCCCTTTACTCTGACCAAGGGCCCTGGCACGGAATGAGTGTTACAAATATAGACACGTTCACCAGTTGGGATACTTGCCGGACCCAAAACCCAGCTGACAGGGCTAGAGCAGTCTCCTGATTAGTTTGGGCTACAAGTCCTACTGTGGTACCAAAGGATCTACACAGCTATGTTTGGCTGAAATCATTTCCGGAGACTTCTGTAGTTTCCCCCGCTCCAGTTAGTAATCGGGAAAGGGAAGCACTTAGATAAGTAATTGGTTTTCTTTATTAGGAGGACATAACTTTATCATTATGGATAGGAGAAACAGTGGTAGTTGATTAGCTTGTTTAAGGGTTGGTTATAAAGTTCGTGCGTTTCGACTGGGTGCCGCGCTCCTCCGTATGTTTTATTTGATTTCCCCCTACACATGACACCCGCCCGGTCCCGGCGCTAAACGTAGTGCTGTCTCGTTAGAGGGACTGAGTCAGGATGCCAGAAACCCTGAGATTCTCTCAGTTAGGGGTCCCAAGACCCGAGCGTCTAGAGAACTGGAAATGACCCAGTCGCGTCCGAATCTGCTCCAAAGGTCCAGTCATCAGGGCCAGAGACTAAGGCCACCTGGGCTCCCGCTTGGCTCGGACGCCTAGGCAGCGCGCCGTCCTCTTATTGCTTGCGCCCAGCTTACTCTCGGAGCTGCGGATCCTCGCCGGGGAGACTCCTGCCCCGGAATCAAGGGAACCTTGAGGTCTGTAGAAGAGAACGCCACCTCCCCACTCCACCTCCTCCCAGCTCCTCTCCCTGCTCTTTCGGAATCAGCTACGACAGAGGCTAGTCAGCTAATGAAGACATTTCAATTCAGAAAAACGACGATTCTTAGCCCTGCAGACCTAGTGGACGGGAGAAAACCCACCCGCCAGCCTCAAGCGGACGTCTCTACCACCCGCCGCCCCCGATCTCCTCCGGCCAGGGAGTCTGCTTGGCTTAACAGAGGGCGCAGGGGTGCCCGGCTACCGCCGCGGCGGAGCCCTTCCTTACCGCGTCGCGGCCGTTGAGTTGGGCGCCTTTGGCCAGACGGGCCTCAGTCTTGGATCTGCGCTCCATCTCCTCCATGATGCCTTGGATGTGGCCTCCAGAGATCCCGTGGAAGAGCATGGCTGGGGGGCGGAAAGGACACGAGTTGTCTTCTGCTCGGCACCCCACTATTTCCATATACACACGCCCAGGGCTTTCAGCTCATCCGAATGAGGGAGGCAAGGGACCCGAGAGGGCTGCGCTGTGGGAGCGCAGAGAGGCTCGGGGATGGAGGGAAAGAGGGAGAGAGAAGAGGGGAAGAAAGAGACAGAGTGGAAATCGGTCTGCTTGGGGGGACTGGGGGAAGCAAAAAGAAGTGGGAAGAGTGGTGGGGTAAGCCTCAGCGGCTCCCTGAAGGAGATGTGCAGAAAACAAACAATTCGGGTGGAGGAGAAAAGAGGCGTAGAAGGCAAATCTTACTGCTCTGAGAGATCGAGTTACTAATGGGAAACAACTGCAGCGGGGAGGAAAACAAAATCTGGTGAAGAAAGAAAATAGTTTTGAACACAAAGAAAGAAAAAGAAGTGCTATTTTCAGCGTTCCCTGACTGCTTGCAAGTTCCCAGTTCCTGTAGGTTGGGTTGGGGACTGCTCCTGCCTGAGCTGTGTCCAATTTGTTAAGAGACTAAAGCCAGCCCATTTTTGATAATTTAGTAGGAGGAGTTCTCTCCCCGGAGCTGCCACGGATTTTTATTCAGACAACAAAGACCTGTCATACTCCTCTCAACCCCCTGGTGATGGGCAAGCAGGACAAACATTACAAAGGGGTGGGGGGATAGAGAGCGGGGAGGCAGGAGGAGGGGGCATTTACCTCCCCACAAAACACACACACACGCGCGCGCGCACACACACACACACACATCCAAGAGTTCCCAGCAGTCATGTTTTAAAGGGGAAAAGGAGCTCTTGTCCCCGCCCTGGTGCAGGAGGCCTAGAGCCCGCCTATTTGATCCGAGTTCAAGATCAGACCTTGGCTCAGGACACACAGAATATCAACTTCAAACTTTGGGTTTGCTCCTTGTGGACTTTTTCATCCCCAGCCTGCAGGACTGTCACCAGAAATGCATAAATATTGCGCAGAAATGTAAGCACTTCACTGAAGTGGAGATAATGTTGGCTCCTCTCCTCCCCATCCCATCTTCCTCAATCCACTTTTAAAAGCAGCTGTCTGACAATGCAGGTCTTTGCCTCACCTCCTTGAGGGCTGGAGACCCTACTAGGTGCGGGCTTCATCCAAAGTGGAAAGCGCGTTTGGAGCGTCTACATTTCGCAGGGTTACTTTTGGCAAAACAATTTTCTTTGAGAAAAGCAGAGTGTATGGGACAGGGCATGGACTTGTACACATGGGTATGCAATTGAGCCTTGGCCATAGGGCGGCTTATTCTTTTCCCCGGTTCAGGTTTGAAGGAAGGCTGCCGGAGATTCTAATGTCTCATTTGAAACTTGCCAATATAGGAAGCGACTTGGGGCCTCCCGGGAGCTTGGCGCCTGCCCCGCAGGACTGGGCACTAGCCCCATCGCATGCTGCTCCCACTACCCTGGCAGGACAGGGGACTTGTAAAACTGGGCGCACCCGCACACTCAGAAGGGTGTGAAAGGGACTCTTTGCCTTGGAGGAGGGGAAGGTGAGAACGGACAAGCAGAATGGCAGACCTGCTCCTCACAAAAGGTGGGATTGTTCTGTCGCCCTCTGTTCCCGGTAGCGGCGGCCCCTCCCTGGCCCCATTAAAAAGTGTCCACAATACTCTGATATTGTCGATTCATTCAAACGGCCACAGGCCCCCTAGGGGCCCGAAGCACAGCGCTGCGGCAGGAACCAGCGTGGCTTTACCCAGAGAGGAGGACGCGCGGGCCGCTCTCTGCTCCTTTCGTCCGGGTCATCAGCCTGCGTTCCCCACTACTTCCCGCCGCCTTTCCCAGGACTGCGGTGCCTGTGTCCTGGCACATCCTAGACACCTCAGAAGAGCCGCCCAGCCGCAGACCCGCTTCCCTCCGCCCGGGGGAGCCCGACAGGGAACTGTGGCCAAAGCTAGAAAGACCACGGGAGAAAATCCAGGGAGAGAAGGAGGAAAGGAGGGAGAGAAGAAAGAAAGAAAAAAGGAAGGGAGAGGATGAGAAGAAGGGAAAGGAAGGAAGGCAGAAATAAAGCGAGGGAGGAAACGGCCCCTGGTGCAGCAGCCTGACTTCCTGTCTCAAAGCGTTGCCTACTGAGGCTGCTGGAGTGGCCTCTTCCATGAAACTCAAGACTCTACTGCTTCCCCTCCTTTTTTCTCAGGGTCAAAAATAATGTTATTTGCAGACTGGACGCGGTTTAGGTCCTCCGGGTGCCAGAATGCAGCTCATAAAACACAATTTCACACAAAAATGAAGCCAATCAAGTGCACTAAGCTGGAAACATCCCCCTCCTCCTCACTTTGGCAGCTATACCTGACAGCAGGGCTGCTATTTACTGTAAGTAATGTAATTAGCCCCTTTGGATGGGAATCAATGAGCTTTTCAAACCCACGTGCACACAAGAAGGGCCCTGAGGAGGGGCTGGGGGCAGCAGTCCTTTCAGAGACAGCAGGTCCTCTCACAAAGGGGCAGATTGCCTTCACACAAGTCAGAGGCTAAACTGACTCAGAGCTGGAGGAGGAGAGGGAGAAAGAGGAGGAGGAGTAGGAGGAGGAGGAGTCTCTGAGAAATCCCCTCAGTCAATTCACCCAAGGAAGCTCCAAGCAAAAAGTAAATACAGGACTTCAACTGACTTTGTCTAGTTTCTGTGCTAAACCCTCTCCCAATGCCCAAATGGGGGTATTTGAAATTAGGTTTGGTTCTTGTTGCATATTGCCCTTACTCAGCAAAATCAACAACAAAGAACGCAAGAATACCACTGTTTCCTTGCAAGAGATAAAACTTTGGAGATTGCATGCAGGGAAAGTTAAACAACTCCAGGAAAAAGCCAGAACTTTACAGAGTCTCCAGGGAAGCCAAACACAGAGGTTTTGTAAGCCCTCCAATCATCCATTCATTCTGCGATTCCACATGTATTTGTTAATCATCTAGGTACAGGCAAGGCAGAACACCTTCTGCAATCAGTTTCCAAGTTGAATCCTAGCTATTGTTGCTCTTATAAAACTCAGGTTATAAGTTCCTGCATTCAGTGGCATTTGCTACTTCCTGTAAAGAAGCGAACTGCCAGGATTCTTCCTTCACAGCAAATGCAGGAAGTCTGGAGAAAGCTGGGGGTGGGGTGGGGGTCTGCAGGAGTTTGGGAGGTCCTTGTTAGCTCTGCAGAAATAGGTCCCCATGGGTCCAGACCTGCCTCCTCTCATAGTTCCTAAGGAGGAAGCCCATGAAGAGTGGGAAGGAATGCCCTCAAATTGGGTGTGTGACCCTGAGTTTTCTACTTTTTGTCTTGGAGTCCCCAAGAGAGATTGCCTAAGAGCTCCCCGCTCCTCATTCTCAAAGGACGTTAAGCACTTTAAATAAAGAGAGCATCTTTGTACTCCTTTCACCTCTCCAGCAGAGGGACTGAGGCCCGGTGGCTGGTGACAAAAAAAAAAAAAAAAAATTCCCCCTTCTCCCAGCTCTAGTCTGAATGGCCCGCAAGTGTTCTATAAAAATTAGAGTGTTCATTTTTTCAGTTCCTGGGCTGCGCCACTTCCTCACTTGATGGGACAGGTGCATGTGGTTCTCTCTAACCTGCATCGAGGATAGGATCTTAAGTCTCCTCTAAATTCAGAGCTCTACCAGGAATAATGGGGCAGGTCCCTTGACCAGCACTGCTCTCCCTCACAATTGAGCACACACAGTCCACTAAGCTTTCTTTCCTTTCTATTCTGACAGCACCCATCCCGCTACTGTTGCCACTTTTAGGAAAGTGGACAGCCAGACTATAGTGGAGCATAGTAGGTGGAACTGAGAGTTCGAGATCTCAGAATCTCTATGAAGGTCAAGAAGACTGCAGCGCCCTTGTCCCGGGCTCAGGTGGGTCTACCTGGGCAAAGAACCTGAGCCCAGTAGAACTCCCCAGGGGAGAGGAAAGGGAAATTAAACCCACAGGACAGTTAGGGTTGAGAGGGAAGAAGTAACCCAACAAATGTGCATCTTTTGAGAGCAAAGGTGACTTAAGGTCTCTTTCTACCTGAATTTTGGAGGCCATGATTCTGTGCCTCTAAGTTTGCCCTTTAAAGAAGGAGGTGTTACCTTTCCTCCAGACCCTGTTAAGCTAGTTAAGGAGCCCCTTTGGTTTGAAAGGCGAGACTCTTAAAACAGTATCCAGCTTCTGGCAGTGTCCTGAGCACCCCAAGGCCCAGTGAAACGTCAGCATCATCCTGAGGCTCAGAACCATGCGTTCAGTGCCATGCCACCTGTCCCTGGATGCCCGGGCTGCGCTGGATGGAAGGTGAGAGGATGGCCGGGACACTCTGGGGCCTTTCTCCAGAGAGTGGAGACTGAAATACTCTATGTGTAAAACTTCCCCCTACACCTAGGTGGGCAGATCTATACTGAGGCTGCTACACGGGCGCACTTCTGGTTCAGTCCTACTAGAGGGGCCTCCCTCAAGACAAATGGAAGTGAGCCAAGCAGAGCTGGGACAGAGGGAGTTCGGCTGCCTGGAAAGGGGCACCCGAGGCCACGCTCCAGCTGCACACCCTTGCCAGTCTCTCGCTGGGCGGTAGTCCCCAGCCAAGGCCCTGCCCCTTCGCACGTTCTCTGCCTACCCTCACCCTTTGTGACAAAAAGCCTCTCGCCGACTTTTGCTTCCTTCAAACCTCTATCCTCTATAGGCCCGGGGCTCTTCTCCCCAAAGGGGCCTGCGCCAAGTTTAGAATACAGCGCTTCTGAAATCTGATGCTCTTTTACCTGAGATTTGTTGCGCCGCCTGCCCTCAGCTCCGCAGAAATAAAGGGAGAAGTCCCGCACTGCGTCCACTGAGATCCGGCGCAGAAACTGCTGCGCTAGGTTAGGACTGAACAACAACAAAAGAATGTGGGTGAAGCCAGTTTCCAGTTAACCCCTACCCGGGTGAGAAACGGTGTCTTCTCGGCCCCCCTTCCATCCCTTCCAAGAAAGAGACATCCCCAGCAGCTCAGCGGAGGGTCGGGAGCGCTTCCCTTGCGCCACTGACTACTGGAGGATCAGTGGAACCAGGACCTCTGCCTGGCGCCCCGGACCCTGATCCTGAGGAAAGTCGAAGACAGTCAAAGAGAAAGGCAAAAAGAGGGAAACGAAGGTTTCAGGAATCCTATCAGGAGACTCTGAAAACGAATGTGTTTTTTTGAGCCTACGAAGCGCGGTTTAATTTTTAAGACAAACACACACTCCTCTTCGTTCCACCCAGCGAAGGCGCACACACATGCACACACACTCACATGACATATGCACTGGCCCAAGGGGCAGAGAACATCGCAAGGAACCTGGCACATAACTCACCTGCCTCTAGAGTGGTACCGTTCAGCATTCTTGGAGGAAAAGGAGTGGATCACGCCGTAATGGTGGTTGCACTGGCAGAGAAAAGCCGCGCGTCAGCCGGGCGGTACGGCCCGGCTTCCCCAAGCACCTCCTCCCATCCGGTGGGGCGCGTCCAAACCGCTCCTCCCGCGGAGACCTCAGGTAGGGACTCGGCTTGGAGCAAAGCCGGACCTTCCTCTGGTAGGCTCCCAAGACGTCCCTGAAACTCCCGGCCGTCCGGGCGCACTCCGAGGGGAGAAAACTGCTCCAACTAAAACATCTCCATCAGGGTCTTACCTTGAGGTCCAGATGTCAGACGTTTC